TTATTATTATTTATTAGGATACGATAAAGATATAGGTACATATTACACTACTTGGATCGATTTAAAAATAATAATAAATAATAAACAATAATGGTGACAAGTACGAGATATCTTAGATAATGGTATTGTAGGTAATTACAATTTATAACATCTGTATGTTTTTCAGTTTTTAACGAAACGAGCAATGTTTTTGGTTGGGAACAAATGAAATATAATATATATAAAAAATAAATGTATAATGTGAAAAGTTTTTTTCAACTCTTTTATGTTTATAACTATAATAAGATTTACATAATTTACATCTAGGTAGATCTACATTAAATATTTTTCTTACCCAGTAACAAGGTTACCTAATGAATACGAATCTCTTGAAAAAATTGAAATCGGACCACTGGGGTCTGGGACTACTATCCCAGTTGTACCTACTTGTACTTGAAAAAGTCTTTCTCTTTGTACAGTTTCCATTAGTAAATCTGTAAGTTTAGGGTGGCAACATTAAGGAGCATTAAAAATATTTTAGAATTTTAAGTGATTTTAGTTGTCTCACACTAACGTTTATTAATGTTCCATACACATCCCATGTAGAATGAATTGACAATGCTCCAAATTTTTTTTTCTAACAGCCTTAAGTGCTTTTAATGCACAACGGTTTATGAATGTTTTCAGAATCATAGGTGCTGTTAATAATATTATGTTCAACAAGTTTTACTTTTCAACCTAGAGTCTTGCTAAAATGTTTTCAACGATTTTGTTGTGCCTCTTATCTTCAGCCAACTCAATTATGAGCTCACTCATCTTTCTTTCGTGGCTTGAAAGCCACGCTTTCTTTAATTCCTCGTTTAGTTTATTGTCCTGAAATCAGCCAAATAATCAATTACAGCAGGGACGTCGTTGTCTCTGTGAAGTGTTGTCAGTCAGGTCCATTGAAACTGTTTACATTTTATGGTGAAAAAAAAGTATAACATTTAACCATCAGGCATTACTACACATAATCATGATTTTCTGTACTCAAAGATTTGACGGTAAATGCAAGGTATACAAGACTATTGGTGCAGAAACGCTGTAGGTACAATACTATAATAATTACACATCACTTGAATCTACCTTATTCCCAACTTATCAGCAAAGAACCGTCACCACTCATCAAAATAAGATATAACTTGCAATGAAAACTGCACACTAAACATAATGTTATTTAATAATATAATATAATAGTGATCAACTATTCAATCAACATCAACACTAGTGCACTTGGTTCAATTTTGAACAATCCATCTTCACTAAAACGAGAGCTCAATAAAAAAAATACCAATGCGATATTATAATATCATACATTTTTAAAAACAAAATAAGCTTCAGCCATAGAATGTATATGGACTGGAAAAATTGTCATTACGGATTTTCGATGATGTTATACCTATTTTGTGTTCAATATTAATAAAAAGCATGGTAATTACCATCGACGTCGAAGCCTTTATAAATATATTTTTTTAAACTGTGTCTTTAAAGAAATAACAAAACATGACGTTTTCTGCGATACAGTACATTGGAAGTCCATATTGAAACGAGTGCAATATATGAAATCATTTATCTTATTCACAAAAAAAATAATAAACGTACTTACGCTAAGACTATGGACCATAGACTTGATGACGTTGGGCACACTACACACGTCTTGTTTCGCTGACCTTGGCCGGCGTCGCACATTATGTGATGAAAAAAAAAAAATGATAAATCATCGGCCATCGCATTTGAAAACAGATTCTAGACTAGGTTTACTATTAAGTGTTTAGAGGACATTTTTCAAATTGCCTACGCATAGAATATTATTATGTGTGATTAAAAATAAATTCACGACTAAAGATTTTCAAAATATATAATACCTATATATGTAATTAATATATACATATATATGTATAATATATATTTTATGATGATTACATAACAGTCATGATATGAGTATGATACGAATGACCTTCTGTACACATTACACATGTAACGTCTCGAAATATTGCAAATAGTATAAAAATGTGACGAAAAATTACCATGCCGTAAAAAATTAAAAATAATATACTACCTACATAATAAGGTACTAATGACTAAGGGAGAGGGGAGAGGGGAGAAGGCAAAGGCAATAATAAAATAGAATATAAATCATAAATATTAACTTTTAATCTGAAAGATAATTTTTCAGAAATAGGAAATTTATGTATTTTCATTACGTCTATAAATAGGCAATTAAAATGCAAGGTTATCGTTTTTTTTTCAACTGAGGTGTTTACGGACTTACGGTTTCATTTATCGCTTTAGTTTTTGTTTAGTCTTCCCAGTATTTGTTTTTCGAGATTTTTTTAAAGATCCAATCAGATTTTTTTTTAATTCTTTGACGTGTAAATCGATATTGTAAGAATAATAACTAGTGAATTTCAAGTCTCTAAAATCGAAAGTCTTGGACTTATAAAAAAAAATCCAAATCGTTTTTACGGAAAAATGGATGGCGTATGTAAATTTGACCATTTGTCAGTGGTTTTTTCTGACGTGTTATAATATCATAAAAACGAAAAATGGCCTCTTCGGTAAAGTAAACACTGCAATCGTATACACCCGATTCGCTACGGAAAAAGCACGAGGTGACCCGATCATTGTGTGTATATTTTTACACGAAAAAAATGGAAATAACACTTATGATTCAAACACAATAATATTGTACCTAAGTGCCTAGCCAGGTAATAATCAGTACATAATCCGTTCTGGATCTAAAATCCTTTTCGATTCACATTAATTAGCTAATACATACCCATACAAGATGTGCTACATAATATAACGATATGTTGAGATTAAGTTAAATTTTAATGGAAGAAGAGGGGATGCTTAGTTAAGAAAAAAATCTTATGTTTAAATGGTCAAATAATTGTTTTTGTTCTATCCATAAGACGTATTTTGTGTATTATACGTAATTATGATATTCTATAATATTTAATAATGTATAAAACGTAGGCGCGCAACATAGTATACTTATATTAATGACAGCAGTTGACGATAATCCGATGCCTCCTATGACGGGTGTTTGATTTTTCGTCGAATACCTTTAATAGAAAAACCGAAGTTGTTGACTCCCACTGGCACGAAACGGGCGAATAGCCCAATATTTTAAATTGATAAACCGTAATTATTATGACTCCGAAAAACGGCTAAACAGCCAGGAACAGATTCTGATTTATATGGTAAAAAAAACCGTACGAACCGTTTGTAATATTCACTATATAGCAACAAAGCGTCCTACGCATACGTCGGCAGTGCACTTTTTTTTTCTGAGGGGACCGATGAGCCCCACCAAAACACCTTCAACCGCGGCCATACACTGAAAACGACCAGTGACCATAATATTGGTACGCGATCGCTGTAGAATACGCCGTGCGAATGTTACATTATTATTCGTCTTTCGAGACGCTTTCTAATCACGACAACAACCGGCCGTGGAGTGCATCCGAGATTAGAATATATAATATAATATTATACGTATTAGCATGTGCGTTTGTAGACTGTTTAACAGAGACTGTTTATCATTATGCTTGATTTTTTTTTTCTTTTTCTTTTCATTTGCTGCAGGTCTTCTCCTTCGTTCGTCCGCTATTGTTTTTGCTTGTGTGTATTTTTGCGCGTTTGAATAAATGAAATAGATTTCTTGTGCGTGAGTGTGCGTGTGCGCGCGTGCATGTGCGACTGTGTGTTTTCGTTTTCACGCCGCCGAAAAAATATAATATATCATATTATCATTATTATTATCAAGCGTATATTGTCGTACTTACAACAGTCGTCCTCAGTGTAGCGTATGGTGTTGGTTTTTGCAGCGATCTTAAATGTTGCCGGTGATCAGGGTGGTGGAGTGCGAAGACCTAGAGCCTCCGTGTGAATCCGCTTCGGACGCGTTTCTACTTCCGGTGTCTTGTAAGAGGTAAGACGCCGACTTAATTTAATAACTCATGATAATATTACGATTTAGTGAAATATTGTGCTCCGTAGTAATAAATAATAATATCACTTAAAATGTAACGAAATCTTACGATAGATACATCTTTATAGTATTCGTCGCTAAGCGTGCACATTATTGCCATAGTCAAAATATTATCGTTGTATAATTTAATTTAATATCACCACGAAAATTGGTTTATTCTAGACGGCCCGAGACCGTCGGTCTAGCGACGTTTAAAATGCACCGACTAACGAGCGAAAACTGCAAGCTCTGTATAATAATTGCTGTCATTTGTTCTCGAGTGCAAAGTGCCATTGTTAGTTCTTTTATTTCCAGTTGAAATTTGGTTTGGCAGCGTGTTGTAAAAACAGCGTTGCCGATTAAGCTCGTTCAAGCCTTTACATATTTTAAGTACGCGTCAATTGCAGTACTTTACATTTTTCGCACCCTCTTCATTCATTTCTTTTAACGATGAGATAAATTATTATTATTGTAATATTTTTTTGACATTATTTCTATAAACCATTTAAAACGTTCAACCACAACGTGCAGAATTGAATATTATCAAATGATAACATTAATACATCCATCACGTACTTAGAATTCCATTGAAATCGTATCGCAAACTGGCCCGTGCCATGTCATATTAAAATTCGTACTTAAAGATCTAAAGAAAAATATTACGTGCTGCAAACTTAAAAGTAGCCTCATACTGTATAACGTCTCATTGATTTTATTAGGACTTGCATTTATGATTCGATGTGTTATGAATATTAAGCCGATGATTTAAAATGGTCTATCTACGATGTTTAACTTCGAACAATATACTGTGTTTTGTACATAAAGTAATAACTTTTTGCAAAAAAAGAAAAAAACTATAAACTAAATAATGAACTATTTTATTAATTTTTAACGTTATAAATAGTTTAATATATAATTTGATAAATATTAAAGTAGTTTTGTTTTTTTTTTGATACCTTTATGAGTTATGACTGTGGTTAGTGGTGAGTGGTTCCTCAACCGTGGTTCGTGGCCCTTGGGGGGGTTCGTGATACTTATACCGAGCGACCGCGGTGCCTTAACTACCTACGCGTGCAATGATGCAATAATTGTAGAAAATACATTTCAATGTAAATTATTATTTTATACTAGAGTTATCGCAACCATTTTGTCTCATTCAGTATACATTATCTTACCAAGGTATTTGTTGTAAATACATTAAAAAAAAAAATTATTCTAAAGGAAATGGGAATTAGTCTTGCCTAAAAGTTCTCAAATTTTTCTTAATTTTTTTGCCCGATGTTTTTGAAAACCACCGAGTAGTTTTTACTTTTGACTCCTCAAAGTAGTAACTAGATTTAGTTTCCTACCAGAAAAAATGCTGATGTAGAAAATTATTGAATTTTTACTGCCCTAAAAGTGATGACAGACAGACAGAAAAAAAAACATACACATTATTGTAAAATCAATATATTTATTGCTCCGTTGAGAATCTAATAAGGTTATTGTAAAGGAAATTTGGAAGGAAGGTAGATGCGCGAGAGGTCATGGTTTGAAAAAGTCTATCTTTGGAGTTGGCGTTGTTCAATAGTTTAAGAACCGCTGCCGAATGTAACTATTTTGGTTATTTCATCGATTTAAGTAGTCGAAAGCATAATTTAATTTGAATTATTATTGAATTGTAACAAAATCGTCAATCTTTATAATGAACCATCACCTTTATAATTTCAATTATAATTAAAAACCTTAAATACATCCGGATCGTGTGCGTAAGATATTGTTATTCAATATTATTCACATCAATTTCAATTTGAGCGACTCGATTTTGAAACTCTGACAGGTTTCGACGAACTGTTGGAAAGCCTTGCGGTAGTACTCGGCCACGTCTTTGTCACAGCTTCCGTTCATTCCGACGTGCAGGCCTAAATACACCATGGCCGAAACCTTGGGCGTCAGGCCCGGGTACAAAGGCTTGATGGCTGTAAGACCGGCCAGCGCCGAACTGATGTGCGTGGACACGGTCTGTTCCAGGTAGCCACATACGGGTAGGCCGTCGAGCTGGTCCTGGTCCCAGGGCCGTAGTGACGACGACAGCGGTCGTTCGGGGCCACTGACATGCATACTGTACTCCGCGTACAAGGACGGCTTCTCCGAAAACGCCCGCTTGCACTGGGACGAGCAGAACGTGTACGCGCGGTTACCATAGGTGACCATCAGCTCGGGGCGGCCGCGCTTGTATTCCGGGAACCACAGGCACGACAGCACACACACCGCGCAATATTCAGAAGACAGGCTGCACTGGAAGTACGGGTTCAGAGACAGCAGGGCGTCAGTGGTGGGCTCCGGATGCGGGTAGGGCGTGGCTGGCGCCGCGTCGGCGTATCTATCAGGGTTACGAATGAACGCGGCCTCGTGTTCCGTACAGCACGTCCAGTAGATGTACTTCCGGTACTGTACCGAGAACTGCCTCGTGACCGCCAGGTTTGGTGACCGGAACAGGCGGTCGCAGTCTGCTTTGCACACTGGGCACTGGTCCAGGTACGTGCTCAGGCTATACTGGTACTCTCGGCCCGTTACCGGTACGCCTGATAGCCGGCTCGGGATGTTGCGACGGACGTTCGTCCAGTATTCGAGCACCGACTTTACGCACGCTGACACGGCTAGGACCATCCCATCGGTGTCGGAGGTCACAAAACCGGTAGCGTTTCCGTACCGGGCTGATATCCACGGCAGGCCTGGAAAGGCCGACTTCCAAGCGTCGCGTCTGAGCCGCAACAATGCCGTGTCGTTTTCGAGGCTTCCTTCCGGTATACCATCTTCCTGCAGAACGAACACCGCATGCAGCATGACGCCGGTACTATCCAACAGCTTGAACTGCTTCTTGGTCATTGGGTACCCGTCGATCACGTAGCCCCACGTGGTGGCTTGGTTTCCGAACATGGCTGTGGTCACAACTTCTGCCAACGTTTCCTCGGACAACACGTCACCCCGGCGTAACGTGCCCATGGCCGTTTTAGCCACGTCTGTCCACCGGTATTCCTTCAGGTAAGCGTCGACGGCGTCCTCGATTTGTATTAGCTGCAGTCCGTAAAGGAAGCACAGTTCTTTCGCACAACGCGACTTCCCGCTTCCTGGCGGACCGACTACCGCGATCTTTAGCGGGAAACTTGGCGCCGACGGTGGCATCGTGGACTGTCCGAGCACGTATTTCATAGGCCACCGCATGAACTCGTCTCTGTTCTCTGTACTGCCGGCCACGTAGTACACGTACTTGCGGTGGACAACCGGGTGGACGTTGCCGTCCACTAGGTTTGGACAAAACTGTTTGATGCTTGGGTCGGCTGAACCCCGGATTGCCTGCACCGGACACCACCGGCCGAACCGGCTCAGATGCACTTCGCCAGCGCGCAGCATGTCTTCTGCGGTCTTCAGATCCACTTCGTACGTCGACTCGAAAGGCGTGTCGGTGTTCGTCCCCAAAACCTTAGCGATGTCACTCATCACGTCCGACCGGGAGTCCGGACCCGAAACCGTTATCCATGGGATGTTGGCTATTTCGGCAAACTCTCGCATTTCTTCCAGTGCACCCTTCTCCGTGTCCAGGTATTTCTGGATCATGGCGTTTGATGGAAATTCAAAGCCGTCCGAAAAACATTGGGATATTATGTATTTGTCTTCAGGGAATTCGTTGTTGACCATCTCCTCGATTTCGTCCAACATTGTAAAATCGTCCAAATCCATGAAATCATATACGTTCAAACCGCGGTCAATTATGATTTTTTTCTGTTTCAATGTGAGTTTAGAGTATCTAGACAACAAATCCGATATAGAGGTCAGTGCAGACTTGCGAAAATATTTATCCGATTGTTGATTCAGTTTGTCGCATATGGATTTCACCGAGTTCGGTCCGTCTACCACTGTTTCCGCTGCAATCGTTTTGATTATATTCTCTAAACGTACTTTAACTTTGTCAATTTCGTTTTGTTTTATAAACTCAGCTAGTTTTTGTTTAAACAATATCGATCTGTTGTTAACAGAGTCTTGCCTTGTCTCACTATCTCGCGCAATGATCTTGTCGACCAATACATATTGGTAAGTTAACCAATTTTGAATGACCGATGCGATGGCGTGTTCTTTTGCAACGGGTTTTTCAGGAATTACTTCTATAATAACATCAGGATGTATTTCGTTTTCTTTTAAATACTTCAGTTCTATCACATTTTTAGGGTAATTTTTATAACATATTCCTTCATTAGCTTGTAAAAATACAGAATTCATTTTAAACCAGTCCTCGTCATTTAAGTAAGCACTTTCTATATTCATGTATTTTCTCAGGCTGTTAATATGATCTTTTTGATTTTCAGGAATAAAATATCTATCCACAATCTTCCTAAGCGTTGGTTCCTCGTACATTTTACCCACCATTGGCATATTTTTTGGCAATACGTTTTGTTTAAATACTTTATACGAGTCTACAAGGGTTAAATCAAATGTATTCAATATTTCTTCGATAAAATTTACTGAACTCAGACCAAATGGAAAAAGTAAAGATACGTTAGGTTTTGGGTACATTTTTGGGATACTAGTGAACAATGTATATTTATTAGGATTAGAAATAAATTCTTCAAAATCTTTGGACGAGCTCATGTAGTAGTACCTATTATGATAGACTGCCATGTGCCTTTTAGATCCTATACGGAGTTTACCATTTGCAAACCTAACTGGGCAGTAAATGGAAGTATCACCATCATACTTTCCTATTGTAGGTACAGTGCCCTTGATATCTGATGTGGATACGTCGTATACATTGTCTGCCAAAAACCTAAACAATTATATAATATTTTAAACAATGACCATTTTAACAAAAATCAATTATGAATATTTTAATTATTAATTATTACTTTACTTCTTTATATAGTATAAAGTGTCTTCAATTAATAATTTCAATAAATTTGTTGTAGAGTTGTGGTTGCATTCTATAATATTAAAATTCATGTTCTGGTCTGTTTCTTTAGAGATATGTTTTTTTAAAGTATGCCATTGTATGAGAAGATTATCTGTATATTGATTTAATCTCTCAGTTATTTCTGGAACAATTATTCCCATTAGGTGATCGTGACTTAAGTAATTTTCGTCTTTATTTTCCTCATGTTCTGCAATTTTGACTTCGTCTTCGAAAGACTCATCTTCAGTCATTCTTTCAATAGAAATATCGAACGGGTTTTCAATTGTACTGACAAATTCTGAATATTTTATTCTTTCAACTGTAGTTCCATATCTTTTACCATTTTTAACATTTTCTAAAATTGTCTGATAGTTATTACTATAGCTGTTGGACATTTCGTCATTCAATAATAATACATTGTGCATTGGATCGGAGTCATGAAAAAATATCATCTGGATTGGATGAAGGTCTTCATCGATTAATTTTTTAACTAATACAACATCCAATGGTGCGTTAACTATAATCCAATTTATGTTGAGCTGGTTTTTTATTCGTACAGTATCAACAATAACATTTATTAAATCAGGTTGAACATTTTTAATTTCTTTTATGAAGCTGGACCTAAAATTCTTTCTATTTTTTTTTGACATGTTTCGGAAATATTTTGTTAGGCTTTCTGGTTCATCGTAAGCACGAATGCATTCATATAAATCATCTAAAAAATCTATGTCATATGATTCAAAATAGTTTTTTAGTTCAGTTAATTGCCTCCTTTTGAACAATTCGTACTCGTCTTGTTTTTCTAGAATAATTCATAATGTATGTATTATATATTAGTAGAATAAAAATATTAAATACCTACTAATAACATCTTAAATCTTAGTAATTAAATAACTATTATTAAACAGATCAAAATCATTTCATTTTAACACTAATTAATATATGTAAAAGTTAATAGTAGTTATTTAGGGTTTTTATTTTACTAATATAATTCAATATTTATAAACCATACAGACGAAACTTGGTTATTTAGGAATAATTTTACAAAGAACATACATATAAATACACATTAATTAATTATCAAACTTGGAAGAAAATACCAAAAATAATTTTAGTTCTCACAGGTTCAGACTGATGAGATAATTTTTAAATTTCGTATAATTTAGTTATTATATGTATGTACTTTCGATCGATTTCTTTATGAAAGGTTTTTACGAGGAAATAAAATAATAGTTACTTTGATATGAAAAATTTTGTTCAAACGTTTCGTGTTCAATTTCTTCCTCTTCCACGCCATCAGATTGAATGATAGTATTAAACCTCAGACGTGTCCAATAAGCAATTGCGTTACGCATAGTGCTTATGTCATTAGGTAGAATTTCTTTCGGTTTTAAGATCTCTTGTGCGGTTTTAAGTATAGAACTGACGATCGCAGACGAATACGCGTGTCTTGTGTCTTTCTCGTGTATCTGTGTTAAGTACCCAACATCTATCAGGTTATAACCAAAGAATTTGCTTACAGCCTTTGCAGCCGGATTCGTCAAAGTCTGTGGACCATAGAACATGGCTCTGATTGGTAACCGGTGTCCCTGAACTTGCAGAAATTGTTTCGGGCATTTACCGAACGATTGCATTTCATCGGGTCCGGCAAAGTAGTACAATTTTCCCATAAATGTCATACAATAACGGTCGCTGCCCATTACGAATCGACCGTTAGAATAGTTCACGGGGCACATACGACCGAATTCAGACACTATACGTATTTGTTCGTTACGATCATTAAAGCGGTGTAATTTTTCTTCGCGTAATTGGCTTGTATCGCTCGCTCGCTCTTCACTGCTAGCCAGAGTTTCCACCTCGTGCGATTCCGATTCGAACTCGAACTCGGAACCGTAATACTCGTAGCGTTCGGACAAAACTGATTTATCCTGGAACCGTATGATTTTCGGTAACACTGTGTATTGCAGTGACATCGTCATTAATTTCGCTTTAATCGTTTCCATCAATTCGTTCACCGGTTTTCTGCCGTCCAAGGTTATCACTCGTGCTGGATCAAACTGTTTGAATATTTCGTCAATTACCCTCAGCGAATAATTTTCGTAATCCTTCACATCCTGTTCAATCATTTTCCTAGTTACGAACGACTTATTGTACCAATATACGCTCCTGTGGCTGTATTCTGCGTCGTTCATATGTAGTGTTTGTATAAGATGATCGTGTTCCATGGATTCTAAAGTCAGTCCATTAAGTATATGGTCTAAATCATGATTCGAACAATTCATATAAATCAATACATCTGGTGGATTCGTAGTAAACACCGCACTCATTTGTTCACAGGCACTCAGTTTTGGGTCATGTCTGTTGTAAAAAAACGAACAAAAAATCAGCAAGTTAATATCAATATGTAGTAATATTATAGTACTCTAAAATATTTTGGGGAAGCAATATCTTGCAATATCCTTCTCGAGTTCGAAAATTACTTGATCAAACGTAGCCCACAGTTAAACATCGAATATGTTTTCATAGAGATTTCACTGATCTGCAATATCAATTATTGAGATCGTCTCCATGACATTCATAGTATTAATGGCTAGCTTTTTAATGGTTTCAATGGATCAATTTTTTAAATGGGTCAGGTATGAGGTGTTAAAGGACTTAAAGTTGTTAGGTAAACGGTTGTAGACTTACCTGGGCAATCCGGTCAGCACGTAACCCCGTTCCTGTACTTCAGTCCCTCCGATACCCAAAAGGTCAACGAGCAGTGAGGCGCTACCCGCGGCGTTTACTGCTTCGCCGCGTCGCAAAGCCAAACCGGTTTGGTCGTCCGGCCGGAGACTGGCCGCCAGCAGCCCGGTGGTCGTGGACACGTGGACGCATCCCCAGTACGCGGACAGCATGGCGGCCAGCTTGTCATCCTCCAGACCGGGCTTGCCGAATATCACGAACGAAACTGGTTTCCGTCGCAGGAACGCCGCATCCACGTCCTCACTCCCGTAATAGTCGCGACCCTCAGACTGCACCGGCAGCGTCCACCGTCTGGCGATGGCCGGGGATTGTTGGGACCGGAAGTCCGCGTCCGCTTCCAGGTGCCGTGACCAGTTGATCCTCTCTGTGAGCCCGTAGGACGACACAACCCGCGGGTACCACGTATCATCGTCGGCCGTTCTATCATGTCCTTCTGGGTCGCTGTCACCCGCGCCGAACCGGTCAGTTGGCCACAAGTTCGAGCTCTTGTCGGTGCCCTGTACAAAGAGGTTTTTTTTTAACGTAATAGACTCAAATTTAACTTGCCGATTTTAGTAAAATATGTGACTTTATCGAATTGGTAGTGCACAATATATATATATATATATTTAAATTCTTTTTACAGTTCATATTCATAAATTCAATAAGTAAATTTGACTATAGAAGAAAAAAATGACAAAAGATCGTGATTAGAAGAAATATCCAGTGATATTACTTATGAATTATATGTATAAAAGTACTTATAACGTAGTCTATAGACTTAGTTAAAGACTTTATAGCTTCTAAGTACAGTAACTTTATATTATTTACAATTTTTTTTTACATAAATCAGGTGTGCATAATAATTAGGTCAATAGGTTCCTGGACCATATTCTTTTTAGTCAATGGGTTGTATCAGGAAGATCTAGGGAGGATAAATTAGATATGAGAGGGTTTAAATGATTAAGTAGTTTGTTGTGGAATCGCTTATAGAGTTTAGATGCTTGATCGGGGACGATCATTATGTTGAGGGCGTTGTAAAGGATTCAATTACTAACATTCCAAGGAATATTGGTTAGTGTTCTGAGGGATATTGATTGGAATGGTTGAATAGTTTTTATGTTTTTGTTTTTGGATGCTCCCCAAAATTGGATTTCATAAGAGGATATATATAAATGTACAAGTATAGTTTATGGACTACCTACCCAATGATGTGATCACATAGCCAATTAAGTTTCCTTATGCGCCCTAATCTGGGGGAACGTGCGACTAAAATTTCACTTGTTGAATCTTTGGATTTTCATTATTTTTTTTCAAATTGTAAAATAAACTCTATTCTCTAGGAATGTATATAATGTATACATCAAAATACCGAAAGTGAATTAATATTTGAAGTCTAGATAAACAAAGTATTGGAACCAACTTTGTCTGTAGTTAAACAAAAAATCATGTATAATCTATACATCGTACATCGTTGTATATATATTTTCTTGAGATTCAATTTGATACAATCACGCCATTGATTTTTTTTTTGGTTTTTGGTCATTGAAACCATACTGCCAAATTAATGTAAAGTATGATACTATACGTAGGTATTACACAACAGGATACATGCTTAGTTTCATAATCCTCGCAGAGTCGTCTAAGAGTAACTAGTCGATTTTCGACAGCCGCAACTTGTCTTTTTCGTCATACGTAGGAATTATTTTTAAAATGTAGTAATAAATGTAAAATACTTAAATATTATAACGACAAAGAGTATAATAAATTGTGCACGTAAAAAACTCTATAAACAATATGAATAATTTAATAACGGTTTATGTCACTCGTTGTCGGTTGAATAAAATTGAATAAAAATATCAGTAGTGAAATAAATTATCCAGTAAAAAAATACCCTTTGAAAAAACATTCAAAATTTAACTAACTTGATGTCAATATGAATTTAAATTTTAACTTTTGAAACATCTATGGCCTATGTTTTTTGAAACGCTTTAGTTCAAGTTTATTTATTTTTATTTTCAATGAAACTTAAGTAGATATACATAATATTACAACTTTAGTGCATCTGTAACAGCTGCTTTTAAATTATGGTCTACCTACGCATATTTTGTAGTTTTATAATAAAAAAAAACTTCTTCGACGACAAAATAACAGGAACGGTATGAAAGAAAAAGACAGCTGTCGAAAACCGACAAGTTAGTCTTCGACGACTCTGAGAGGATTATAAAACTAAGCATGAGTACTGGTATATAGTATAGTATCATACTTGACAGTAATTTGAAAGGTATTACAAATGCACTTCAATTTTAATATGACCTAGTTCAATTTATATATTTTTAATCGTCAAATGGTCGGTCATCTATCTGATAGAAAACAGAGGGTGGGTGAAATACATTTTAGAACGCTGAATTATAAGAACGAGGTCTCTAACCTAAAAACTTACCTTCTTTTTTACATTTTAAATAATTTTCATAATGTATATCAGTTTAGAACACAATACATATATTATATTACACTATAATGCTGGGTACCTATGAATGCACACAACTTGAATATTTTGAAAGTAAAAATGAAATCGTGATTTAAATCATTGTATTATTGAATTCAACAATTTTTGAATAAAATGTTGGACATGTACAACAATAATTCTTTCAACCGTGTTCAGTGTATATACGATGTAAATAATATGTTCAGTGTGTCAGAAAGGTTTGAAAACCCAAAATATGCGTGAAGTAGAATCAGATGTGCAGTGCAAATATATTGATGATCTCAATCTCTTAAAACACTTAACAGTATACATTAAAATAAATTAATCTTTAATCGTTGCACGTTGCAGACGTGATCCCTACTAAAAATTGAGTGTTTTAAAACTTTTGAGGCGTTTCTATGGGTATTACCACAAATGTAGGGGCGTGCCGAAATGATGGTATTTGGGGTGGGAGACTTTGCTGCTAATATTTTATTTATTTTTTAGCGGGAATTGCTGGTAGACCTAGCTATATTTATTTTTGGTACTCATTTTAAGTATTACCTTTCAGAATCGGTACCCCCCACTATAAAAATTATTCTTGTCCTCTCTTCCCAACTATATACTATCGTCATCGATATTGCATTATGTATAATATCCTGTGTCCTGAACTGGATTTATTGGACATTAAATAATTAAATATAACAATTAATTTATTAACGACGTTAAATCATTTTTATTTATTACTTTACTCTAGAAATCAGTGTTACAAATTAATAATTGTTTACGCTTGTTTAAATTAGTTTTAAAGTTATTAGTAAAGTATACTGAGCGTATTTTAATATAAGCTTTCTAATTAGTCAACCAACTACTTTGTATTAACAAAAATATACTCAGTAACTAACATATACATTTTATAATTTACTTACGTTATTTTGTTATTTTATCGAAAGGACAAATAAATTATCAACATTAAATAATATATTTAAGGATAAAAAAAATGAAGAATTTTTTAGTTCTTTGATATAAATCTTACTGATTATTACCTACTTATTATACAACAAACTGCTTAACTTTTTAAGTAGTTAAATTTATTGTATAATATATTATGTAAGTAACTCATCAAGTCGTCAATGCTACTCGTTATTAGTTATATTAACGTATAGGTTTATTTTTCCGTTGAAAAGTTTGTACTAGAAACTACAAAGTTTGCTGTAACTTAATTCAAACATTTTCTGAATAAAGCAATAGTAATCTTATGCCTAATAAATTGAAAGATAAACTTTGTTTATAACTGCTGTTTGTATAGATAGGTATTAGACTATTTTAACTATTTATTCTGTTGAAAAGTAGGTTAAACTTTATAGTTTATTTCACATAGTAATAAAAAAAAAAACAGAATATTATTCAATGAATTTTTTGTCAAAACAATTTTCTTTATAAACTTACTAGTTACTAGTTAAATTGTACTTTTTTGAAATTATTTACATTGGTTTTCCAAGGTTAATAAAGAATAAAGATATTGTAAAAATGTAAAAAAAAACCGTGGCTCACGCTGTATGCGTATAATAATCAAAAGGAACATGCATGTATTTCGAGTATTATATTATTTTCTGGTTTGACGGAAAAAAATAATGACGCAGAATACCAAAATCATTACCTACTATTGATCGCATACTATTCGTTCACAATAATGGTAGTTTACAACTATATTATTTGCCACAATAACGATTAAATACAAAGATAGGTACTGACACTTAATGAAATAATCAAAAATATATTATTTTATATAATATGCAATGTTATCGGAAAATAAAACGTACCTTGTTGGTGGTAGTCGGTTAAACCCCATGTGAGACGCTTTAATGTGCCTCCGACACTAATAATAATAATAATAGCCAATAGATGAAAATGTGTAATATTCAACATAACACAGAAGCTGATAGATACACATCATGACGTATACTAAGTGTGCTTTTGAATAATCAGATATAGAGAGTTAATAGTGTTTGCTAGAGAATAAGTAAACACGACCTGCAGGATCGATATGCATTTCCATACTTACCTAGCTATTATATTTGAGTGCTAAGCATGCAATGGTTATTGTTCGGGGGCCCGCCGATAATGACTTGGTCGTCGGCAATTAATTGTAAAATAATATTACATAATATTATTATTATTCGGAACGAGATATACAGTCGGAACCGATGTCACCGGTCCATTTTTGCCGAATTTATAATAAATTAATGACTATCTAACGAATGTGGTAACCAAACTGTCCATAGTCAGATGATATTATTTTTACAATTTTTTTCATTTTCAAATCGAAATTCTTAGCATGTTCATACGAATCTTTATAATTTCCTGTTTTGGTATCTCGTGCGTTTGTATATGTGTGCACATAGACTACCTACTTCATGATATAATAATATTATTATGATATGTACATACTTACATATTCAAATTTAATTCGATTTACGACTACGATTCGGTGCGTAAAACCATATACTTATAAGTTATATGACGTAATAATATTTTGGGCCCGAATAAATTGTTTAGTATATTTTTTACAAACCCTTTTACTCAGTTAAAACACGCAAACAATTATCTGTATTGGCTTATATGTATTTACTTTAAACGTATTATATATCCATTTTTTTATGGATTTATTACACCTATATATATTTTTCCTTTATAGAAATCGTTTCTCTTTATTTTTAAGCTGTATACTTTATATAATGACATAATACAGTTTAGTTTGTTAAGCTTTGTTCTAATTTTAATTATTTGACACTTTAAATCGCAGTACTGGTTCCACCATTTCCGTATTATAATATATTAATATTCAGGGTGTATAGTTTTGTTGATTGGTATTTTAAATCATAATATCATTAATTTCAAAGCACCCAATTAATTGTCGATTGGTGTATAGAGTTCAAATTAATTATAAAATAAACTTCTCTTAAATCGAGGTGTCCGAAACAGAGTTTTCCGAAAAGTAAGAGTATAATAATTTTATAAAATATTTTTTTTTTTTTTTTTTTTTTTTTTTTTTTTTTTTTTTTTTTTTTTTTTTTTT